CTCAGTGCAGTGCTTTAACCCGCTGCGCCACCAGGGAGGGCCCTCTTATTCACATTTTTATCTTCAGTGTCTACACTAGATCTGACACCTGATAGGTGCATACTGAATAATGGACAAGTGAATGGATGAATAAATCAGTCAAGATAGCTTAATTACCAGTTTTAAATCCTAAGCTTTTGAGTGTTCTGGTCTTTCCAGGCCTCAGCTTCTACCTGGGCAACTTTAGATTGTAGCTGGTAATGGAAATTGTGACCTCCTCGGAATGCTTACTTGTCCAATGTGTGAATGCCATGGTCTCCTGAGGACCAGACCAGAGTGTGGGTGAACATAGAGAAAGGATTCTCCTCAGTCCCCACCAACTCATCACTCTGACTCCTTTCCCTATGTGGTGACTTTCTCATGAGATGAACAGACCTCAGTTCTCATGGGAAGTGTGAAAGATGAGGTCTATTTTGTTGATGACACAAGTATGATTTAAATGCTGTTTTTGGGGGGTACATGTGATATCTCAATTCAGCTGAAAAAAGCCACAAAGTCAAAATCCAACAATATTTCATTTCAACCCCAACAAGATCTTCTTGGTCCATTGCTGGTGCTCTTGCTTAATAAAATTAATTTTGTCAAAAATAAAATTATTGACTTGTAAGCAAAAGAAAAGAAAAACATGAGTAAACAATTTGACAAAAACAAGTTATTTTGAAAATGGAAATTAAGGCTAGTGAGATAATACAACCTAAAGCTTAGCATGTAGGTGAAGTGGTAAATCCTAGACAGCACCTTTTTATTTTAAAAATCCTTTTGACATATTATTTGATCAATGGAAGGAGTTTGTATAAGTGTGTGTATGTGTTTCAATTATGTTGTATATCCTTACCTACCTCTGTATCCTCAGGTTTTTGTAATGCCAAAATTACTATATTTTTAGATTGTTTGTAATAACATAATTCTCATATTTAGCACTAGGATACTCTTAGAAATGAATATATTTAATCCGAGCCCTTGAATAGCATTATAGTACAGGTTCAAGAGTTCTAGGAAAAGAACTAAAAAAATAAAAATGGAATCCGAATGTTAATCCATAAATATGAAACTTTCCTATGACCTTTACCCCTTCAAGGTCTGGAGTTACTAATGGGGTTAGGATTTCAACTCTTAATGGGGCTCAGTGCATTAGTGTTTTGTATGCATGGAATTCAGCATTCGGTTTAATAAGTGGTTGACATTGGTGATGTCCCTTAATTTGCTTAAATCTAATTGGCTCTTTTATCAGTCAAACCTGTATGGATTGGCAATTGATCAGGAAGGGTCAGCCATGACTCTGCATGTAGCTAGAAGACAGAGCCACCAGTTAAAGTCCCAGGCGCATGATAATAAGCAGAAGACGAACACATGAGCTTAGAGGAAGATGGCAAGGCAGCTTAGAAGTTTCTCAGGATCTTCAAGTTCAGAACAAAGGCATTATAGAGTATATAAATTTTAAATACACTGCATTTCGCCTCCAGACTTAAACCTTTTTTTCCAGATGAACTGAAATCTTGTCTGAAACTGTCTTTGTTACATCAAAGACCTACTCAGAAAGCTAAGAGAGACAGAAGAAGCATAAAAGGGCATAGTTTAAAATGATTAGTGACAAATTCCATACTGACGAGCTGGAAACAGATTTTTTATGAAAGTTTTATATTTTTTCCAAAAGGAATAATTTTATTCTATTTATCTTTCTCTGAACTGCTTTACCATCGAAGTGGAATACAGAAACACCTTCATTGAACTTAATCTAGTTTTCTCTGACAGTAAATAATGTTTCATTTATGTCTTCAAATGGATGTGAATTATTATAATCTACAAGCTTCATAAAAATACTAAGCTTAAGAAATGTGTTTCTTTTCCTAAGGTGTGTTATTAAAAATCAAGAACTGAGAAAG